AAGGAGGTCATTTGGCGGACACTTTAATTATTTTCTTAAAAAATTTTTTGGTTCAAAATAGAACTTTGATATTAATATCATGTCAAAGGATAGATGTCAAAATTTCTGAAAACATATACATATGCTAAAAAATAGTTCTAAAACATTATTTGATTTATTTTTGTTTTTTAGTACTTTGTTCGTATGAGAGTCGCGAAAATCAATAATGATCAAATATGATATGAGACTGGTATATAACTTCTGTGTATCCTACATTTAATGTATACTATTTTCTATTTAGGTTATAGACATTGGTCTCTTTTATTTTCTAATTATTATTAATTGCTGCGTTTGAGGGAGTCATTTACCGGACTGTTTAATGAATTTTTTTAAATAGTTTTTTGGTTCTAAAGACAACTTTGTTAATAATATTAAGTCAAAGGATTGTCAATATTTTTAAAACATATACGTAAGTTAAAAAATATTTATAAAGCATTTTTAGAATTTTTTTAATTTGCCTTTGTCACCAAGTAATTTACGTTAGTGTCGCTAAAATCGATGATATTGCAAATATGAAATGGGGTGGTTTAAAAAGATTCTGAGTGGCCCTACATTTAATATATATTCTTTTGTCTATTTTGGCTACAGGTATATCTCTCCTTTCTTTTCTAAATAATTTTAATAGCTGCGTTTAAGGGGGTCATTTCTCGGACACTTTAATGATTTTTTTTATAATTTTTTGGTTCAAGAGATAATTTTGATATTAATATCAAGTCAAAGGATAGATGTCAAAATTTTTAAAAGCATATACTTGTGCGAAAAAATATTTATAAAACGTTTCTTTTTTAATTTTTTTTTATTTTCCTTGTCACTTTATGTAGTTAGTACAGATATCGCTAAAATCGTTGATTATGCAAATATGACATGAGGAGGGTTAAAGAAATATAGTTAATAGGTACTATTGTCTATATTTCCTTAATAAGCATTGCTTCCCTTTGTTTTCTAATTTTTATTAACAGCTGCGTTTGACAGCGTCATTTGGCGGTCATTTTAATTATTTCTTATAATTTTTCAAATCAAAAGAGAAATTTGATATTAATATCAAGTCAAAGAATAGGTGTCTAAATTTCAAAAAACATATAGATATGCTAAAAAATATTTAAAAACATTTAAAAAAAATTATTTTGACCTCCTCCTCCATATAATAAGCGCAGATGTCACTAAAATCGATGATGATGCTATTATGATATGAGTCGTGTTATGGAATTCTGCGTAGCCTACATTTACTATTGTACTATGTACTATTGTCTATTTCGGCTATATGCAAATAAATATTGATATAAATGTTTAAAAATAGTTTGTTTAGTCAAAACTGCGCTAAGTTCTGAGCATATGTATTACTATTCATAAGGCCACAGTGCAATTTTTTTTGAAAATAATTTTTGGTAATGGGGAATCAATTTGAAACTTGTTTTTAATTAAAAAGTGTAAATAAATCTGTCACAAAATATCCGCGTAATTCACGAAATATAGAAATTTTTTAAAAATCGTTTTAGTCCTAAACATGCTAAGCTCTAAGCATATATATAATTAACCACAAGGCCACTATGCGAATTATTTTATAATTTTTAGCAATATTAAAAATAAATTGAAACTTGTTTTAGATTAAGAAGTAAGCGTATATTTGTTAGAAAATTTGTTAGAAATTGAGTTTAAATCTTACTAATCTCCGAGTATGTGTATCTTTTAACATAAGTCGACACTTAGCATAAGTCGTCTTTTAATATAAGTCGAGCATATGTATCTTTTAACATAAGTAAACATTTAGCGAATCTATTACAATTTTTGTATTGGGGAAACCATTTGCGGAAACATGATAAATTTAGTATACGTATTATTACTAACATTAAGTCTGACAATTTATGACTCTTTTTATTTGTTTATTTTTACAATGAAGAATTTTTTTCAAACTTATTTTAGGTAAAAATAAAAAGAACTTAGCGTCGATTGGTTAGAAAATACTCATATATGTACGAGTTTAGTTGAAAATATATTTCGTTATAAAAATCATTTATAGTTAAACCCAGGGGTGCCCGTTCCCTCCAAGGTTGATGGAGACATGTTCATCCCAATTTGAACCCGTCTATTTCCGTAAACAACAAAAATAAATTTTAATCGAACAACAATTAATTAACTGTGTCTCTTATCTCAATTAGATTCACTGCTAGAAATATTTTGCAAAACATTATTTTCAGAAGTCGAATACGAAATTGACATTCTGTAAAATAAATAAATAAATATAAATACTAAACAAATAGTTATTCCTTTAAAATTGCATTGTAAAATGGACTCACAAATTGAATCAACAAAACACAATCGTGAATTTTTTATAATTTTTGCAATGAAAATTTCAGTTGAAATTTGTTTTTTATTAAAAAAAAACAAGCATTGATTTATTATGAAAAAGTCTTACATTCTAAGTAATGCTTACAAAAGTTTTTTAAATTTTTTTTTTATGTGTGTTTAATTTAAAACATGCTAAGCTTTGAGTATATTTTATAATAAATTTACATTTTTCGAATTTTTTTTGCAGTTTTTTGAAGACGGAAAACGTCAATTTGTTGGAAAACCTCTTTTTATGTTGAAAAGAATATACAGAAATATATAGATTAAATAATAGGAAATATATATAAAAAAGGCATGTTTATTCAAAAACATGCTAAATTCAAAGCAATATATCGTTAACATAAGGGAGGATGTTTCACGAATTTCTTTATAATGTTTTGCACTCTGTAACTAATTTGAAACTTTCTTTATATTAAGAATTCAACGTCAATTTGTTAGGAAATACCAATATATGTGAAAAGAACTTACAGACGTGTTTTTTAAAAAAAGCCTGTTTGCTCCAAAAATTTTAAATTTAGAGCTCGTGTACCTATAATTTCATTAAGAAATTTTGCAATTTTTTTTTAATAATTGTTTGCAGAGCAAAAATTATTTAACATTTGATTTGTATTTAAAAGTGAACAATTTACTAGCGAACCTTCTCATATGTCAAGAAATACATACTTATAATTATTTTACACTTATAATTTTTTATATTGTTTTTGCAAAGTGGAAATCATTTGAAGCTTGTTTTATAACAAAAAGTGAGTGTCAATTCCTTAGAACTGTGTCCCTACCTTAGGGCTGTCCAACTGGCGGGCCACCAACACCTATTGTGCGGCCCGCCAACTTCTTATTCAGGCTGATCGGCCTCTGTTTTCCCTTTAAAATGTAAGCAAATTGTTTTATAATCCGTCTGTTCCATTGTTTTATAATTAATAATTCAACTAATAATTGTTATCGTATAAGAGGTAAGAGGTTATTGTTAAACTTTCTCAAACTGTGGCCCGCCAGGTGATCCGTGACCGGAATTCTGGACCGTGGGCTCTTTGCAGTTGGACAGCCCTGGCCTTAGAAAATGCTCATATATGTCAAGAAAACATTTAGAAATTTTTTTTAAAAAAAAGCTTGCAAGCTTTTTTTCACTCGAAAAAATTCTAAATTCAGAGCATATATATCTTTAATTTAAGAGAGAAAATTTTCTATTTTTTAAAATTTTTTTTTAACTTTGGAAATCATTTGAAATTTGATTTATATTAAAGAGAAAGCTTTAATTTGTTAGAAAACCTCATTTTAAAAAAATCTTATTTATTCCAAACCAGGCTAAGCTCTGAGAATAGGTATCCGTAATGTAAGGGATGACAGCTTGCAAATTTTTTATAATATTTCAAATGAATGTTTTGAATGTTAAAAAATGACATTCGCATATCAAAAAATATGCGAACGCAATTTTTTAAGAAAACTTTTTTTTTGTCCAAAACATGCTAAATTCGTAGCATATATATTAGGATGATACTTCATTATTTTTAATCACTCAAATCATCAATCAATCAAAACTTGTTTTAAAAAGTGAGCGCCAGTTTCTTCGAAAATACCCATATGTGTCTAGATATATTTATAGAAACATTATAAAAATTTCGGTTACTGCAAAACATGCTACACTCTGAGTATTATCCGTTTTATTCATTCGTGCAGAATAAACAATGTAGCTAGAGGTTGTTAAGTAAAATAAGTAAAATTTTCTTATCATATTATTATTTAACTTAATTTAAATGAAGATCTTATTTTTTTAATATTTGCATTCCCTTCCGAAAGTTATAAGATTCATACACAATGCACTAAAATTCTTACACAATGTGTAGAGAAATAAAAATAAACTGTTAAGGGTTTTCATTGATGCATTGGAGGACACGCATTCGCCAAGTCCTAGGAATTTTCATTCATTCGCGATCGCATCACTTGAATCTGGGGAGAAGACCGGCACTTTCACTCTACCACTTTGCTTTTGGCTCTACCACTTTCCCTTTCCTCCTCTTTTCAGTTGTATAGGAATGTTCTACGATATTTTCCCTCTTCTTAATATTTTTCGATAGCCCATTGTGCAGCTCTAGTGCGACGTAAATTAACAACAACAACAACAATATTTTTCGTATTTAATTGTCCCAAATATTTTTTTAAATTTTCAAAACGCTCTCTTTTAGAGCTATGTTCTATGTAGTTTTCAGTTCCGTATAGTTTCCCAACTTGAAAAATTTTATTATATTTCAAAATCAGGGGAGAAACTGACGCATTTCCTTCTTCTATGACACTCCCGATGCTAATGGTGAAAGCATGAGAAGTGTTGCCATTGGTAAGGAGTTTTGCTCTACGCCACCTACAGCTCATTTCGATCGCCAATAATTGTTTGTGCTTGCGACGATGCATAACATCATTTGGAATGATGCCAAACTCAACCTTTTTCACTTAACAAAGAAATTGAGGAAATGTTTTAAAATTTTTTCAGGAATGATTGAATTTTTTCGTACGTAATGAAACCCATCGACTCAGGGACAAAATTTAAACTGTAGATGGCGCTATTCCTGTTCAGGTTTCAAGTTTCTTCTTCTTTTTTGAAAGCGCCATCTATAATTGTCAGAATTTTCACTGTAACCATAGTGTGTGCGGCAAATTGGTAATGTTTGTAAACACAAACGAGAAAAGCTTTATAGATATAGTTTCGATTTAATATATCTGTAGAAAATTGTGGAATATTGGGAATTTAAACAAATTTCCTGTACAATGAATTTGTAAAAATTTCTCTCTAAGAATGAATTCGTCAACCATGAATGAATATGAAGGAGTTGTAGTAATTTCATGTGATCCTCAAAACGAGCCTGCACAAAATATAATTTTTCGTAAGATTTAATTTCCGTTCTATTATACGTATATTTGTTTTGAATAATTAGCACTTTATCTTCATTTGAACAGTATCATTTATAAAAATATACTTTTATGATGGAAACGTGTGTCTCTTTTCATTTTGGTCGTTTAAAACTTATAATAAACGTATAGTAATTGCCAAATTAAGTTATAAAAATATTTTATACGTTTTAATTAGTATTTGTTTAAGAAGCAAAAGGTTCGTTTAATACATGCTGTACTTTTAAATGTATAAAATTTTTAAGGGTAAATGGGAGATTACTGTACCGATTTATAACGATGGAATGTGCAACAACGCTATGAGTAAATTGTGTTTAAAAAAGCATTCGTTTTGTCACATATTATCAAAAGAATATCAATCAAAAGAAATCACATATTATCAAAAGAAATCAAGTATATTTATCAAAAGAATTTTTCTTGATATCTTATAGTAAGGTCCAAGACTTATTAGTCAAAAGAAACCTTAAATATTGTTAAGTATTGAATAAAACGCAATGTTCTTTATTTTAAGTTATATGTTGCCCAATAAGAAGAAGCATGAAAATCGATAGTGAGAAAAATAACGCTGTGCATTTCAGAAAGAATGAATATCCCCATGAATATGTTGATGCCTATTTTATTAACTTATTTATTTTATGCTTTGTGTTTTAGGAATTGATTTCATTAAGAAGTTTTAAAAATATATATGTGAAATTCTAGTGTACAGTATGCAGCCTTGGCATGATTTGAAAATTAACACCATTGAGGGGGACATCCTCCCTGCCAACAAGGCCCATGTATGCAGTGTTCAATGCCTTTGCTTTTCTATTGAAACTATCGCGAAACAGACAGTGACCATAAATGTTAACATAATAAAAACATTACCTAAAAATGCACGTTTATTTTTAAATTCTTTTCATTGCATAGATGTATAAAATTGTATTTTACTTAGCAAGGGCCCCCATCAGGGAGGAAGGTGGGCGCACAATGCGGCCACTTAAAGCTTGGGGGAAATTTTTACACTAAATAAAACGAATAGTTTTGGGGGGGGGGATTTAGACGAGAATTTTTTTTTTTTAAGTATATAAATAAAGGCAACTGACCATTTTCAGGCATACATAACTTGACTACAGGTGCAAAGCAAAATACATAAGGAAATTCTGGAAATGTANTGCACCCAAGAGCTTGGGGGGGGGATGGGGGCCACTGTTACTTAGCATGAAAAAAATTCTCTTAATACTGATTCTATTTTTGACTATTTTATCAAAATTTTTATGAAGCTGACTATTTTATCAAACTTTTTGTAAAGTTGACTATTTTATGTAGAAAACTGAAAAGGCTTTCCATATTGGTGAAGGCTTATAAAAACAATGCCTAAATTTCCACTGTCGTCCTGTTTGTTTCATGACTGAATCTCTTTTATTTGATTTTGCTATGTTAACAAAAATTTTATATTCTATGCAACTTATTTCTTTGTTCTCGGATTTTCATATATATACTATTTCCATTACTTTTGTTGAAGATGAAAATTTTTTTTAAAGGTATCCTTGGAAAGGAAGCTGAACCATCTGCAACGAACTTTTCAAATATTAAAGGGTATCTTTGGAATGTAGAAACTAAATATTATACTGCTGAGGTGTTTTTGTATGCAATTGAGCAGCAGGAGAAGCTTGAACCCAAATTTTGTGAATCTATCAAAGCAATAATATTTTATATTGATAGTACAGAGGTTAGTACTTTACATTCTAAAGTTTCTTGTACATTTATTTATGAATATGTATCATTTTAATGTACAGTAGAGCGGCGATTATCCGAACCCTTATTATTCGAACGTCTAATTATCCGAACTATGTCCGAATTCTTTTTTTTTTTCTTTTTAAAGTTAAGAATATTTTAACTTAGCGAAAATTTTTCTTAATTTAGAAGAATAAATAATACCCACTGCATCTGAGGACCATATTTAATTTACAACCTTTTTTAGCAGTTTTCTGATAGTAGTCATACATACATGTATTTTTATACAGTTAAACCTACATACCCTTTTAGCCCTCTTCAACTGAAAATTATCTTCCAAAAATGCGAGCTTCATTTTGACCGTCTACAATTTTTGGATTGCGGAAGGAGTTAATGAATAAATAGGTGCTGAAGTTCTACAATTGAGAGATAGGTAGTCATCACTTATGGTTAATGATTAGTGATTACAGTGCTTAGAATCTTAAATCTTGGAATAAAATTCTTAACAGAAAAACAAACGAAATTGAAGTTTCTGAACCAGTAGATCTTCCGGCTGAAAAGATGACAGTTTATACTGCAGAAGAAATAGAAGACTGGTGTCGAGACACTGAAAACGACACAGGATTTTAAATGATAATAAAATTGTTGCTGAAATTTTGAATGAAAATCCACAGGTGAAGAGGAAGAAGTAGGTGATCAAGTTCAAGATAGTGGACCTTCTAATATAGAAGTATGCAATTNTCGGCTGAATATGAATATTATTAGATATTTGGCTGAATAAATTCATAATAATAAAGAAAGATATTTTTTTAAATGTGCTTTTAAATATATTTAATCATGAATATTGCAGAGTTACATTTCACTGCATTAATTATTAGAAAATCTAACATTTACTCAATTTAAGTTGTATAATACATAAGTGTATTTAATAATGTTACATAAATAAAAACGTTTTCTTGTTGCAAATTTATCATCATATGTATTGAAAGAAGCATTGGAATCTTTTACATTAAAATGCAAATATATGTAGTTTGTTAAATCGAAGTGTGAATACTATCTGAAACGGCAATTAAAATTTATTTGTAATTCCCTTAATGATATCTATTTAGCAATAATATGCACTAGAAATATATGATTATATAATTATTTATTATAAATGTAAAACATTAATTATCCATTTAATGGATGTCTTGATACTTAGAGAAACAAACTACATGAGATATATGGTTTACAGGTATAAAAAAATCATTTATCATTGTAAGGTCTGAAATTATGATGCAGGAACAATATTTTTTCAGCATTTATAGGAAGAAGTCTGTTTTGTTTGGTTTCATATATGTGTTACCAGGTTCAGAAAATGAACGCTCACTGTATACTGTACTTGCAGGAGCTGAAAGATATTTTCTTGCTAAATTTGCAAGTCTTGGAAAGTAATTGGCATCAAAATATTTAAATTATTACAAAAAATAAATGAAGTTGTTAAATTTTTTTTAAATATACAAAGATTAAAAAAGCAATTTTGTTAATATTTATTTCATTTTTAATTTAAAATTTGAAAATTACTTTAATTACAAAATTACAATCAAAAGAGAAATTTTTAAAACGTAAGTATTCGGCCTAAAATTTGGCCGAATATTCGGTTATTCGGCCCCATCACTATTCGTTACATCACTACTTATTAGTCAAAAGAAACCTTAAATATTCTTAAGTATTGAATAAAACACAATGTTCTTTAAGTTATTATATGTTGCCCCAATAAGAAGAAGCATGAAAATCGATAGTGAGGAAAATAACATTGTGCATTTCAGGAAGAATGAATATGTTGATGCCTATTTTATTTGCTTATTCATTTTATGCTTTGTGTTTTAGGAATTGATTTCATTAAGAAGATTTAAATATATATATATATATAATTCTTGGTGAAATTCTAGTGTACAGTATACAGCCTTGGCATGATTTGAAAATTAACACCATTGGGGGGGACATATACCTACAGTCCCCATCCCCCCTGCCAACGAGGCCCATGTATGCAGTATTCAATGCTTTTGCTTTGCTTTTCTATTGAAATTATCGCGAAACAGATAGTTACTATAAATGTTAACATAATAAAAACATTACCTAAAAATACACTTTTATTTTTTAATTCTTTTCATAGCATAGATGTATAAAATTGTAATTGTATTTGTAAAATTCTCTTAATACTGATTCTATTTTTGACTATTTTATCAAAATTTTTATGAAGCTGACTATTTTATGTAAAAAACTGAAAAGACTTCCCATATTGGTGAAATCAATGCCTAAATTTCCACTGTCGTCCTGTCTGTTTCATGAATGAATGTCTTTTAATTGATTTTGCTATGTTAACAAAAGTTTTATATTCTATGCAACTTACTTCTTTGTGCTTGGATTTTCATATATATACTATTTCTCATTACTTTTATTGAAGATAAATTTTTTTTAAAGGCATCCTTGGAAAGGAAGCTGAACCATCTGCAACGAACTTTTCAAATATTAAAGGATATCTTTGGAATGTAGAAACTAAATATTATACTGCTGAGGTGTTTTTGTATGCAATTGAGCAGCAGGAGAAACTTGAACCCAAATTTTGTGAATCTGTTAAAGCAATAATATTTTATATCGATAGTACAGAGGTTAGTACTTTACATTCTAAAGTTTCTAGTACATTTATTTATGAATATGTGCAGTGTTTTCATCATAGAAAAAAAATGGGTGAGATTTTCTCACCCTTTCTCAAAAACAGGGTGAGATTTCAAAAACTTAAGTGAGATTTGTAAAAACTAAAAAAACACAAAAACTCTTGAAAATTTTTTTTCTTTAATTATAATACATTTTTAACCTCTTCTATTTTTTAAAGCATTGAATAGTTTTGGTGCATCATCATAGAAGATTTTGCCTTTACAAGGTATTTGTCCATCTTACATTAGCACATAAAAAATTTGAACGTCTTACATGAAGAAACCTAACCTACGGTAAACACGTGGTTGCGGAGAAATGTGTTCTGAAAGGGGTTCTGTGGTTGTGTTCTGTTGTTTGAAAAGGGTTTGAACAATACTGGTAAATAGGGAAGCTAGATAACGGGGCAGATGTTGAAAATAATGAAAGATCCAGGAAGAAAAGTGAAACAGATTTTATTCTAAGTGGCGTAATTCTTAGCTTTTTTTGAAAATGCGAGAAATTCACGAATTTTGAAATTGATTTATAGAATGTGCGAATTTCTCGCGTTAATAATTTTTTAATTTCGAGAAAAGAAAAAAATATGCGAGATTCTCGCGTTGTAGTGAAAACACTGATGTGTTTCATTTTAATGTATTTATATGTCAGATTTGGAGGGAAGCTTAAAATTCTTTCTAAGAAGGGGCTGTGTACTTTGTAATATACATTTCTTTATCTATATTTACTTTATTTATATTTATTTATATGCATATATATTTATTTATATTTACACATACTGAACTGTGAAAATTAATTTGAATGAAATGAAAGAAAAAGATTGTTCCTTTTCAAAACAGCTAAACGTTTACTCATTTTACACCTTTATATACAGCGATTCTGCTTGCATGCTATATTGCATCAAACACACAAAAAATTATAGGCAGGTACATGTAAAAAGTTATGACATATCTCTGAGAACTGTAATTTTCTATGGTGCGATAAAAAACATATAATTAGAACTGATGTCATCTCAGATTTGTTTTGGTCTTGTTTCCGGAATAGAACGGAACTTTAAAGGGAAGAAAAAAAAATTTTTTTCCTTAATGCACATAAGAAAATTTAATTTTTTGTTTTTTTCACTATTTTAAAAAGTTTCTGAACAATAGAGAAGAAATAATTCTGTAACACATGTAAAAAAAAATTTATGACTCATCCCCTTAGAAGAAAAGTTTTCTGTGGCAAAAGACAGCAACACAGAATTTGAATGCTGCCATCTCAGATAAGTTTTGGTCTCACATTCAGAACAGAATAAACTTTAAAAGGAAAAGCAATTCCCCCCCCCCATGTGTATTGACAGTACAGAGTGTGTTTGGTTTTGATTAGTCATATATAAACAATCAAGTCATTTAATTACAACTACTTTCTTATTTTGAATGTCTTCGTATTTTGTTTTTCAGTAAATGAAATAGTTATAATTATACATATTAATAGAACGATAAAGAAGTAGAGAGTATTATAAACCTTTTTCACTTCCCAATTTGGATGTTTTGTTTTAAGTTTAAAACACACATTGTGGTGAATTTTTTTTTTTATTTCATGTAGAATTTTCTATTTTTTGAAGACTTAAAGTACTTTAACATAAATTTTTTTTGGTTTACTGAGTGTTTTGATTATTTTTAAAAAATTTAATTAAATATTTTAATTTACCCAGTGTTTAAATACACAAGTGGGCGACCTTTGTGCTAAAATACATGCTGCAGACAGCTGTTAAATACAGACAGCTGTTTCGAATGCTCAAAGGGCAACCTTCATCAGTGCAACAGAAAGAAATGAGAGAAAACAGGGTAAATATATATAGAAAGTTGATGTCACAAGGGGGGGGGTTAGAGCAACGGCCAATAGGAGGGAGGGGTGAATGGATGACGACGAATGGGAAGCAAGGAACAAAAAAAAAGGGGGGTTAGTTTGGTTTAATCATGGATTTCCAAACAGGAGAAAGATAAGGAACGCTGGATAGGTCATTAACCAACAGCTTGGAATTTTTGAAAATATTATAGGACTCATAAAAATCTAAATCAAAAATTGAAGAACAATTTTGAATGACTTTAGAAGAGGAAAAATCAAAATTATGATTAGAGTCCCAACAATGTTGGGCAATAGATGAGCGTTTAAATTCTTGTTTTTTGACATAGGCTTCATGTTCCTTGACACGGTACTTTAAGGCGTGCTTAGTTTGGCCAATATATGAAAGGCTGCATTGGCAATTAATTTGGTATATACCCCAGCTACTTTGACTGTCAATGGGCTGTTTGAGATTAGAAAATTTTATCTTATTAATGGAACTGAAAATAATATTAAAATCAAACTTCTTTAGGATATTAGCAACTTGCCGACTTATTTTAGGAAAATAGGGTAAAATTACTAAATTGTTAGAAAATTCTTTGGAAGGTATATCGGTAGGCGATTATTTAGTTAAGTTTTTATAAATATTATCAATATTGTTAGGAGAATAAACTCTGTCATGAGCAATGGCTTTGATGTAATTTAATTCTGCATCAAGAAAATCAATGTTAGAACAAATATTAACAGCTCGGTAGACAAAAGACCGAAAAGAGGCAAGTTTTTGGTTGAGAGGGTGGGAGGATTTGTAATAATTTGTACAGAAACAGCAAAAGGTTTACGAAAGACAGTAGGATGGAATAAATTATCATTCCGAGTCACAGGAACATCTAAGAAAGGAAGTTTTTGATCAGTCTCTAATTCAAAGGTGAACTGAATGCAAGAATCAATGCTGTTCATAACATTAAGAATTTGGTCTAAATTACAATTATTTTCATCTAACAAAGCAAAACTGTCATCAACACATCTTTTATAAAAGGGAAAGTTAAGATTTTGAATAGTTTACTCTCAAAATAATGCATATAGATGTCACTAAGTATAGGGCTCAAAGGATTTCCCATGGNATTTTCATCTAACAAAGCAAAACTGTCATCAACATATCTTTTATAAAAGGGGAAAGTTGAGATTTTGAATAGTTTACTCTCAAAATAATGCATATAGATGTCACTAAGTATAGGGCTCAAAGGATTTCCCATGGCAAGACCATTGGTCATACGGTAAAATTTGTTATCATATGCGAAAGTATTTTGTTGTAAACAAACACAGGGGAGGTTAACATATTCATCGACCTCATATTGGGGAAAAATAATATTCCGAAAGTCTAAGTTTTAGGCAATCCAAAGCCCCCTCAACAGGAACATTAGTGAACAGTGATTTTACATCAAATGAGGCCATCAAATTTTGCAACAGGGTGCGTAGCATTTTTAAAAAATGTTTAAAGGCGTTTATTTTCGTTTGTTAAAAGCCCTTAAAGGTGCTTTTTTCATTGAGTGTTTTCAAAACGTGCTTAATTTTCCCTTTTTCAAAATGAAATTTTTCCTTTACTATGCTGGTTTTCGCTTCGAATTATGCAAAAAGACACAGTTCACATTGTTCTATTCAACGTTTTCGTAATTAATTCAACCCCAATCTATTTCAGCGTATTGTCAGTCCGTAGCGTATGAAAACGCCATTAGTTTTACATGATTCAAAATTTAATGATTTTTGACAATTGTCAAAAACAATGCCAAATTTTTTATTTATTTATTTTTTTGACATGAAGATAAAACAAGATAAAACCGTCAATTGTCAAAAACTTTCCAACCCTGCCTAGTTATGATGTATTTTTTAAGTGCTTAAAAATATTTTTTGAGTGCTTAAAAGGTACTTATTTTTTGTTGAATAATTTGACTACGCACCCTGGTCAGAGTTTCCCAAAAATGAAGATTAGATTATCATCTATTGCATTTTGAGGATTACTAAGAATACTTGAGGATTTTTTTAAAAATTATATTTTTTGGTAAAATAGTTTTGTAATTTATATTTAAGTTGCTTCTATTAAGCATTCCTTAATAAAATTAAAAAATGTGAGCAAAAAACTCTTAAGTTGATAAAAATGTACTTTTTTTATTCTACATCAAGATATAGATCATTTTGAGTCCATTGGCAACCCATTAAAAATAAGCTTTGTTATAAAAGTTGTCAGGAGAATAGTTCAAAAAAGAAAGCTTGTGGCAGATTGCCAAATGAATTAGATCCATTAAGGCTCCTGAAGTACTGACAGTACAATGAGAAGTACTGACCTCACTAATATGACATTGGTGTCCCTAAAGAAAGTTTTGTTTTAAACAGCATCAACAACAAAAGTCGACACTTAGCAAGGAAGGCTCATTTAAGTAGAGAGAGCAAAGATGAGCTTCTGACCTTATCATCACAACTTCAGTTTGTCTATTTTGGAAAATCTTTTGAAATTTGTTACTTATCAAATTACAGATTTGCTGGTATGGCAAAGTGAAGTGTAACAGTAATAATTTAAGCAGACCTGTCACAGTGACGTATTATATTGTAACTTTTTAAAAAATTTATATTTATATATTTGTGTTGGTGATGTTAAATCAGCTTTTACAATATTCAAGTATTTTATCTTTTAATTTAATCCTTTCATTTTTTGTCTTTTTCAACAAAACATTATTAATTGTTCCATTTTCCTTCTATTAGACTACCAGTTTTAATGATGTTAAAAACTGGATGCCATATTTGCAGGAGATGGAAGCTAATGTTCAGTTGTTAATTTGCAATAATTCACACGAAGAATCAAAAGGTTCATATTTATTTTATGTCTTTAAAACTTTGCATTGATTAGCAAAATTGATCTTGAGTTTGATTTGATACATTTCTATACTTTATTTATTTTGTTTTCTAATTTTAACAACAGTTGACTGCAATTCACAAAATGCATAGATAATTTTATTATATTAATTTACATACTATTATTGGATATAATTATTATTGTATGTAAATATTATAGGTAGATTTTATTGATTTTATTATGTAAAAATTATGTATATGGAACATTATTTTATGAGTTATTTTATCTCACTTTTTTGTACCACTCAGTTGCTTAGTGGAAACTATTAGTAGCAGAATTATGATTTTTAGTACCAACTTCTATGTTTAAACAGGGCTTACACTTTAGTGAAGATATAAAAACTTTGGAAATCATAGGAAATTTGTAATTATCTTTAAACAATCAGGGGAAAAGGAAAATTTCTGCCAAATACCTGGAAAAAAATTAAGAATCTGGAAAATTTTTTAATTTTTTAAACCTTTTCTGTTTTTTCTTTAGAAAAATTATAAAAATCCTTCTAAAAATCATAAGTTTTATAAAGCAACCAGATATTATTGCCATGGTTGTAAATTATTAGAGGTGTGTCAGTGATTTTGTATTGATGCATGCTAACGTTTTGTCATGTTTTTAAAGTTTCATTAAGAGGCTTTTCTCCTTCCGACTGATTTCAACTGTGGAAGGGGGGAGACAAGGAGAAAAATTTTAAATATGGAATACAATTTTGCAATAAGAATTTTTTAAAAAGTATTACCTCCCTATTGTACCTACATTTGTCTGTTTTTAGATTTTGGATTGTTTTTGTGTAATTTATGTTTAATTTTTTTTATCGTCATGAATTTTAATATTGAACAAAATTTGTCGTGAAATGTCAGGATTTTTACTATTTTTTAAAAAAAAATCATGGAAAGTCATGGATTTAGGTCGCCGAAAAATAAAATTTTTAAAATGGAATCCTCCCCCTCAATTTCATCGTTTTCCAAATATCTGAATTTCTAACCAAATCACTACTCACAGTCATATTTTATTCAAATATAAAATGTCTTCATCATGTTCTTTAAAAATTATGGTGCTCTTTCAAAAAATGAAAGAAAAAACAACATTTCTAGAGCGAATTCTTTTTTTATTTTATAAATTTAAATTTCAAGCCGAAGCAAGCCGATCATTGGCGATTTTTTTTTAAAATTTTGAAATGAGAACAGACAAATAAGGGGTGTTTCTTTCCTTTCTGATAAACAAGAAAAGTATCTTTAGAATATTTTTCTGCAGAAAAAAAGAAGAAACAAATTTGTTTTTGTATTTTTTTTTCCAGCTATTTTATTGCTTCAACTCTTTATTTACTCTGTTTTTTAAATTTAAAATCCGTAAATATGAAGATGCAGAGTATAGCAGTTTTGGTAATACTAATTATCATTTCAATGGATCTTTTTTAAATTTATTGTTACGTTTTTGTCAGAGAAAATAGTAACTTCTTTAAGTCATGGAAAATCATGAAAAGTTAAATTTGAAAATCTGAAATGTAGCAGATACCATGAATTGAGGATGAATCCCGCTAAAGATAGCATAATTTTTTCTTTGCTTAAAAATTTTAACCTGTTTTGGACTAATAAAAATTTCACAAATGTAATTCAATCCACTCCAATATTTTGATGTTTTGCTGCTTTATTGATAATTTCTCCCACTGTGAAAGGAATAAGGGAAATGCATGAGTTCATGTCTGAAAGCTTTCTTAAAAATCAATTCTGAAAGTTGGCAATTGAAAACAAGGAGGGATGTGAATTAGTTCAAGAGGTTAGCAAGCAAGAATCAGTGTTGTATAAATCAGAATATTTTTGTATAAATCAGAACTGTTTTAAATTTAAAATATAATTTTTATTTTTTGATGAAAGGCTTTATGGCTTGATAAACACAAGTAATTTTTCCCCCTCATCAACTACAAACAACAAAATATCTAAAATTGCTCTTGAAGGAAACGAATTACTTGCCTTGTTCATTATTTTATATGATGAAAAAAAAATTGATATTGTGATAAAATTTATGTAAAACTACAAAATTTAAATAAAAGTGTTGTCTTTCACTATTGAGCATCAATAATAGCTTTATAAATTGATTTGGCCATTAACTGATTCACCAATTAGCTAATTCACAGATATTTTTACCCATTGATGTTTTTCTTACTATTCACTTATCATATGAAGAATCATCCATAGTTACATTTGCATAGAAGTACGAAGACATTATACTAGACTTTTGATATTAAAAGCAAGCAATTCCAAAAATAATTTATTTAAAATGCTTTTGTGAAAAAAAAAATTATGTTTTATGAAAGACATTAATAAAAATGAGATTGAGATTGCTAATGAAAAATATTATGTTCAATCTATGACTTTAAAATAAAATATGTATGGTATGTGAAACAATTTTTAAGAAATTTTTGAATCAATATCTCTCTCATTTAGGTACTTTAAAGCTATTACTCTTTATTTGTATGCTTCATTTTCCTGGTTGTCCTTATTCGGCTGCCAAATTATTTTCATTCAAATATATAAACAATTGCAGTTTTATTTTCAGTTTGAGGGAATTTGAAAATAAGAATAAATTACAATGAATTTCTGAAATACATCTCTCTTTTTTTGTTTTTTTTTGTTTTAAGTTATTTAATTTTTATTTTTGCAAGCAATTACTGTTTCAGCACTTTTAAATAGCATTTTTAATCTTTCTTCCTTTTTAGGACGAAAAAGTGTTCTCAATTGGTGTGTCCAAAATCAATTTGAACTTGTGGAATTGAATTCATCAGCAGATGAGGAAGGTGCTAAAAACTTAATCAATTGTCATATTTTCATATTCAATCACTTGTATTTTCTTCAGGGTTGGCAGGTTTTTGACATGTGACAGTTTTNATTTTCATATTCAATCACTTGTATTTTCTTACCCATTGTCATGATCAATCATATTTTTAAATAAAATATCTGTACATCATTATAGCCAGTACATTAATACTTATTTGTTTTTTATAGATGATTTCACTGCTGACGATGCAAAAGGTTTTGACAGAGTCATACAATCTTTGCAATCACATCTTTGGGCCAATTTAAATATGAAAGGTTAGTGAAAAAAATGGACAAATCTTCCTAGCTCATTTTATGATTTCAATAATTTTATCAGACCAAATTTAATAATTGCACTGGAATAGCTCAGTAAATTGTGTGCTTACCTCTAAATTTAGAGACCCTGTTCTGAATCTCGATGAAAACTGATCAATTCATGTACTGCTGCCCAACTGCATTGCTGGAATAAATTTTTTCTAGTGGTAGACAGATCAGGTGATAGAATCCCATTGTCATGGGGCTAACTCTGTTAGGTTTTTATATTTTTTTCTTTTCATGTCATGCAAATTTATGAAAGCAAGTTAGTTCAAATGCATCCAGGAATTATTACCTTGTATTCTGGATTAGATCCTTCAGGCTACAAAGTTAAGTATTGATAGCCCTAAATCCAATAGAAATCAGCTGTTCAATGCCGGTGATAGGATAAAATTTAATGCCTGAATGCCCAAATAGCTGGTTAATTGATAAATGTTTGTTAATGTTGTCTTTTTATGAATATTTTGCAAATCGTCTAAAGAAGAAAGCGATCAAAATTGTGATGTACATTACAGAACAAATGTCCAGGGCCCCCCAAATTTTTTCTATGCTAACAATTTTTGTTTCATTGCGAAAGTATGTTTACACAATATGATATTTATTAAATTAGAGTTAACTTTTTTATCAAAAAAAATAATATTTGTCCTTACAAAGAGCATTTATAATTTAAATTGTAAGAGTTGTTTGTTTAGTTTTGTAGATGCCTGCAGACCATTTTATAAATAGTATTTTTGTCGAAACATTAGACTTTGTTTTAATCTGGGTGCAAAGCCATAGAAATTGATATTTAGGGAACCTTATATACAGTACAGAACCCGTTATCCGGAAATCGGAAAACCAAAAAACCGGAATGAAATTCAGTAAATTTTCCCGCCATTTTAAAAAAATTTTTTTTTTTCCTCATCAGATTTTAGGATTTTTCTTTCTTTTTTGAAAGATGTTTACCTTGCCATTATTTTGGAAATAATCATTAGTGTATTACTTCATTGTTTTTTCTTCTTTTTAAGATTATTTCCAAATATTATTTTTTTTAACAATAAAAAAAACGACTTTTTGTAGCGATCCAGAAAACCGGAAAAATCAGTTATCCGGAATAGCGATGGTCCCGATCGTTCCGGATAATCGGTTCCCTACTGTACTTGAAAACTTTCATAAATTTAAAGCTTTTCCCATAAACCCTTGTTAGACCAAGCTCTCTATGAAACGATAATACTGATCTCTACGGAGACAAAAAAAGTTGTTACTTGGGGGGCGGGGGGAAGTATATTTCTTTTCAATTAACTTAGGACCAAAGACTTTGCAGATTTTCTGCAATTTGTTTACAATTTTTACCTGAAAATCTTTAATTTATATCAAAATGTATGCTAATGCTTATAAAAAAGTTATTGCATTTAAAAAGCACAGGATAATATGAGAGTTATTTATAATTTAAATTTGTTTAATTAGGTTATTATAGTTATTATCTAGTAATAGTTATCTACAAATTATTGTTATGCTGCTATTCAGTCCTTGATGTAAATGCTATTTGTTTCAATTTATTTTATCAATTTTTTATGATAATATTTATAACTTTTTAAAGGCAAATAAAACTAAATCTTTGAATAAAAAGAGGTATTTAATACTAAGACTACTTCAAAAGCACTGACAATAATCTTTTCAGTGTTTCTGCAGTTTTCTTTTTTTCTCTCCATAAGACGCTCTGTTTTTCAATGTTTTTGTTTTGTTTTGGTATATGTAATTTTTCTGCCTAACTTACAGTTCAGTTTTTGTTAAAAATAAAGGAACAGAAATTTCATTATTTTTGGAATACTATATACTTAAGTGTTTTATATTGTTTATGTATTGTTAATATCCATTTAGTTTATCTCAATTAGTATTCCAGGTTATAAAATTGGGATACTTTTTTTTACACAATAAAATGTTTTTGATTGTTTAATAAGGCTTTAAAAATTAAAAATAAGTTTGGATCAGTTAAAAATTTGTTGTACTAGTTGCCTTTCTTTGGTATTTTTAGATGAGAAGTTGCAGATAAAAAGCACTGACAATGGAGACTCAAAAGATACATCTGGTATAATATTAACTATTTTCCTCACTAATAAGATTGTATTCCTGAATTTAAATTTTTTTGAAAATTAATATATTGTCTAATAATTACATACATATACTTGTTACATAACTTGTTACATATTTTTGTACATATATTTGTACATATACTTGTTGCATATATATACTTGTTATATATACTTGTTACATATACTTGATACATATAAATGTTTTTGATAATTTAATAAGGCTTTAGAAATTAAAAATAAGTTTGGATCAGTTAAAATTTGTCATACTAGTTGTCTTTCTTTGGTATTTTTAGATGAGAAGTTGCAGATAAAAGGCACTGACAATGGAGATTCAAAAGAGATATCTGGTATAATTTTAATTATTTTCCTCAGTAATAAAGATTGTATTCCTGAATTTAAGTGTTTCAAAGATTAATATAATGTCTAATAATTATGTACATACACTTATAAACAAAAAGAAAATTTGCTTTTTTTCCTATATTATTTTGAATTTGTGGAATGATATTTTTTGCTATTTAGTCAAGTTTTTAAAATTAAGAGTTAATGGATCAATGAAATTATTTGAAAAGCATTTTTTAATTCAGAGTGTTAAAAGAATTATTTCCTGAGTAATAACATCTGCTATTCTTAACATTAAAATTCCTTTGTACCAGATTGATTTAATTGTGCTTTATGATATATTTCGCAAAATAATTTCAGAATTAATTATGGTAAATTTTCGCATGAAAATTTACCATAATTAATTCTGTAGATAAAGCAAAAAAATTTTAAGTTTTGTCTTGAGCCTTCTTATAATTTAAAACATATTTAAGAATCTAAATTTGACATTCACACAGATAATTAATATAAAATTAAAATTCAATGAAATAAAAAGAAATAAATCTACTTATTTATATAAATTATAATTATAATTTATAATTTTTTAATTACAAAGATTGACATCAATTACTGGATATTCATGGTCCATTAAGTATTTTTTTTCTGCTTAAATTTTAGTTTTTTCATACAATATTTTATGTAATGTAGTTTTTTTAAAAAATTTTTTTATTATCCCAGATTGAATTTTTTTTAAACTTTTTGTATTTAAAATCTACTTTGTATAAAATTTTATATTATTTACTTTTTATTTTTAAAATTTTCTTTGTTTATTTTCAGTATTTAAGATTGTTTAAAAGCGAAGTCAAAAGCGACTTGCTCTGAGGGCTACTTTATATCTACGACCCATAGGTGTGTTATTTCAATCTATTGTACGTATTCAGAAAAGACCAATACAAGCATAATGGAAATAAAACAATTACTTTCAGTTTAATTATTTGTTTATTCTGTTTTTGGCCAAAAATTATTACAACACCCTTTATCTAAGCATTGCGTCCTTTTTTAACAATCTTAAATCAGGAAATATCTGTTACAGAATTTTCTTTTTAGTAATTCCACATAAGAATTTTTTTCTTCTTTTATACATGTCTGTTCTATTTCCAAAGGTCCTCAAGAAAAGGATTCTTCTGACATAGGAGATGCTAGTACTGCTTCTAATGTAGTCGATTCAACAGTGAAAAAAGAATCTAAAAAATCATCAACAAAAGTAAAAGTTGAAAATGATGGTATGAAAAATATGTTCATTAAAGAAACACCTCACCTATATTATTTTGTAGTATTATTTTTTACTAATATACATAATTTAAAAACTGGGTGAATGAAGGTTCAAAGTAACCTTTTAATGCTTTATTTAAGTTTATATATTGGCAATACAATAGGAAATTAAGATTATTTTAAGTAAGCCAGCTTCCAATTTTCACAATCTGTAATTCCCCAGCTCTCATCTAAACTCTTCATTTCACGGCATTTGCGATTCAGTCATTTCCGGTAATTTTTCAAATGCTAAAAATGTAGACTAGAAGCATTTTTTATTTTTACAAATCTGTGGCATTTCGTTATTTTGAATTTTGCACAACTTCCATATTTAGCATGAAAGGTTTTGATTTAAAATAGTCCAGAATTTGCAGTAATTAATAATTGTTTTAAACTCAAAACAGTTATAAAAATAGCAAATTACTCACTAAAAGCTATAATTTCATGTGATGAAGGATCCTTTCAAAAACAGCCTTAATGATTGTTTATCTCATGCCATGTCTAATAATAGTTGTATACCATGGCGATAAATTTTTTGTAACATTTTGTTTAATTTCAATAACCCTTTAAATTGTTGATCTTAAGCTGAACTATCGATTGCAGCTTATTTGTAAGCTGTTTTTCATGGATATGTCCCAAGATTCAATAGTAAAAGGGTTATGCATAGTTATTTAAGGAAATGTTGCATGCCATACAAATAACACTTAATTATGTTTTTAGTGGCCTCTAGTTGGAGTTACTATAATACTGTGATATATTTGAGCTGCCTCAAAAATAAATTTTAATTTTTGATCAAGTTTTTAATTTTAAAATTTAACAGTTTTAAACAATTTAAGAATGTATTTACATAAATAAATATTTCAATTTTAAGCCTTTTGTAACATTAAAAAGTGTGCAATTAAAAAAAAATTAAGCATTACGTTACTAAAAGTTGTGAAATTAACTCCTTTCATGTAAATTGTAAGGATATACTAAACATGCTGTAAGCTCTAATGTATCTTTCTATGAATATTTGTGTACATATATATATTAGATGTAATATTTATATGTATGTATGTGTAATATTATTGTCTAAAAAGAAAATCCTTTATTATAGATCTTGATCTGGATGAGCAGCTGTTGTCTGATGTTTTAAGTGGAGAAGATCCTGGTGGAGAATCTTTTGAAGCTCTCTTTGATAAATTTGCTAGCATGAAAGGTAATTATTTCATAATGTTCCTGTCATGAATGAAAATATATAAGTAGGGAAATAAAATGATTTCTGAGAATTGTGTTGCTATCAAGTAGAAAATTTTGGAAACATGTAAAGTATTATGCACAAGAAAAAAAAGCTCCTGATTAACTTTTGCTGTAATGATCAGATTTCTATGTACTAACATTTTATTAATTCAGGGATTTGATTTAAAATTTGTTAATTTTTATGAGCAGACAATATTTTAAGTTACTAAATGAGACCCAAAAATATAGTTCCTCCGAATAAACACTCCATTTTTTTTTTGAGATTTAGATTCTTGGCCCTCAAATTACTTGGTTTTGTTGAAAATTAACATAAATTTGAACAGGTGAAAAAAGAAATGAACAAGCCACAAACTTGAAAATTTAGTCATAATAGCTTAGTCAGGAGAGAAGTCAAAAGTTTATGCCCTATAATGTAAATTTTACTTTTTGCCTATTTTACCACATAAAAACTGTTATAGTTTGCCATAGCCTTGGTACTATATAGGCAAATTTTAAAAAAAAAATTCTTGTAATGATAAAACTTGCTTTTTATTTTGTGCTTTGTTACAAAGATAGAAATTGTACGTTTCTAGAAAAATGAATGCACATTGTCATGTCCAAGCCTATCATGTGTATTAGTCTAAATATTAAATTGTTTAAGCTTTTAAATGTCAACCTTAAATTTTGTCAGGGATACAATCTTTAGCTTTCCTGCTCAGAAAACATGTCTCCTTTTTCAACCTATAATTATTTGAAGAAAATGTTTTTTGTATGAAATTTTTTATATAAACTTGTTTTAAGTTGACTGATAATTAAAGTTGACTCTTTTCCTAAGCTCCTTAATTTGATTATTATATCAAACTACATATTCTCTTTTTTCCCCCTCAAGTTTTCAATGTTTTATCTTAAGAAATCATATGCATTTTGTCATATTTCTGTTTCTGATATTTCTTTTGTTCCAGATTACATAAAGCATTCATTAGTATGACGTATGTCATAATTTAATAGCTTAATTTCTGTACATCCTCTTAAAATTTATTTTAATTCAAACATAATACAGTCATACATAATTATGTATTATATACCCTATTATAACTAATTATATACCCTATAATGTAAATATTTTGGTTAAAGATAATGGTGATATTTACTATTTGAGCAAAAATATGTTGATTGATGCATTTATGCTTAATATGCTTAACATGTTTATGTTAACATGCTGAAATATGCTTAACATGTTTCCTAACATTTAAAAACTAAATTATTATCTTCCTTTTCTCAGTACATAAAAATAATTTATATAACCGATAAACTTTTATTACCGCAACCTTGAATTAATTGAGAGCTGAATAAAATATATTTTAGAGATTCACCTAACACATTCGCATCTAACAATTACCACCTAACAATTCATAGAATTCTAAAACCAATATATTGTTGCTAAAGTTTTGAATTAATTAAAATTTGTTATTATTTCTCATTTTTTCTCACAATAAGATGTAGGGGGAATCTTCAAAAATGTAATTTTATTCTGCATTTAATTCAAGTTTGTGGTATTAAAAGATTGCCGATTATATAAATGATATTTGTTTACTGAGAAAAGGATTAAATAAGTTAAAAATTTATTTTTTTCAATATTAGGATATATGTTATGCATACTTCAGCATGTTATACCCGCTTTTTTAAATTAATGTTTTCTCCTTTTGCCTAGGTAGATATAATTGTTGTGTAAGTTATATTTATAAGTAAAAAATGAGTCATTGTTTATCCAAACCATAATAAACTCATTTAATTTCTTTTAGAATGTAAAAATACCTCGCTTGAATTGTTACCAAATTGGTAATAATTTTTTAATAATTATATTTCTAAAATTGATTGTTATATTTATTCACCAAAATGGGACATACATCAATTATTTATTTCTTACTTGCTAAGGTATCTAAACATTGTTACAAAAAATACTTCGTAATTTGATACACGTATTTTTTCCTCACCATATTTTGCCATTACTCATATTAATTGTTTTTGTACTATAAACAAGACTATTTGATGCTCTGATAAATGTTAAACTTATTTTGAGTTTTATTAATATTTATAAAATTTGTCAGTTTTTAATAGTCAAAAAAATATGATTGTTCAAATCTATTTAACTTATTTATCTTTATTTCCTTTCTAAATTTAACTACCAAATAATTATTGGATATTAAATATAGATTTTTAAAGTTCTTTCATTTGAGTGTTTAAAATGTATAATTTATACATATTTAGGAGTAAATGTATAAAACTATATATGTAATCAACATTATTAAAGAAAAAAAAAATTACTATTTCATACTTTTCCTTAACCAAGTGATTTAATTTGATATATAAACTGCACATAAAGAATTATAGTACTATTTAATTTAATAATACTAAAAATAATATAAATTCTAATCATCTGTTACTTTTTATCATTAATAAGTTCTATAATATGACATTTTTATATACACTGACAAGCAATTTCTCAGTTGCACGTAAATGCAGGGTGAAAAAAAAGAAGCTTTTATAACATGCCAAATGGCTTTTAAAGCACTTAATTTTTTTGAAAAAACTCCTTTACTTGATCTTTGCCGGAACTTTTTGTACTGGTTACAAAGGATACTATGTACAGATAAAAATTATTCAAAACTTTTAGTTTAAATATTAAGATATTCCAGAAAAATATTGCATATATTTTGTTTGAATTCTAAGTTAATGTCTACATTTAGAAGAGAAATTATATTGAGTTTTTTCTCATGATAAAGATAACCACTTTTAACTAGTATTTTATAAGTTTGAATTGTTTGTTTCGCCATCATTACATCCATTATTTATGATGTATTTCCTATTGTGGGCTTAAAAATCTTTGTTTGACAGTTGTGTTAGAGTAATTGTGTAGTTCATAGGATTTTTATGATTGTTTATTACAGATAGAGCTGCTGGTCTTAATGGAGAAGACAGAAAGAAATATGCAGAAAAGGTATATAATTAATGTAACAATCTTTTATATTTAGCTTTACATTTTTTTATTGCTCTTATGTAATACCTCAATTTGTATTTCTTTAAGTATTTAATTTGCAAACAGATGAAATTTTTTTGTTCTTTTACACACAGCAATGCAGTCGAGTGAGTTGGTATAAAGAGTATTTTAGGTTCAGAATACTTTACGTGTGGAAAAGTTACCTATTGTAATAAAAGTAAAACAGCATAATTTTTTTTAAAAATCTGCCCATTTTGCTTAAAACTTGAAAAAGTTGTGCCTTTTTTTAAGAAAATTTAAATTGGATAAGACTTTTGAAATAAACACACTTACTCTTATGTGCTTGTTTGATGGTTCTTTTAATCTAATTAATTAAATTCTGATCAATGTTTTTTTACACTCACACAGAGCTTTAGAAAAATCATTAGTTTACCAATTTTTCGTAACTTTTGCTGCTAAACTCTTCGTTCACTTTGTTAGAGCGGAAAGACCTAGAATTCGTCATGTGGAGATGATTATTTACAAAGATTTCCGATAAGGTAGGATTCTTTGGCTTACTGTATTGTTAAGATTCCTTTTTTGTATCTATTACAGATAAAGTTCATTATTTTACGGAAATAAGGCATAATTGGTCTAGAATTTGATGTAGCTTAGTGTATATATCCATCACATGTCTACAACTTTATTCAAAGATTCTGTCACAAGTATTGACACACTTTTCCATAGTAGGGAAACAACAGGGAACTTTATAATGTGCATAGTATCAAAGCTGATGAGTGATTTTTTATCTCCACTTAAGTCTGACAGCAGTGAGGGAGAATGTACCGCACAAGAATTTTAATTAATGGTTTTAAACTAATCGAAAGCTTGAAAGTTTACCGTAATACAAAATTTAGTCCGATCACTTTGGGGGACTGTCTAGAAGATTTAGCGAATTGAGATCCTTTGTCCACTTCAAATGATTAACTGTTGTCAGCCGAGTCCCTAGCTGTATATAATCAGGAACTTTAAAGCAAGACAAATTTTTTAAAAGAAAATGGCTGTTGAAAACTCCGTATTACAGATGTTAAACTTTCAAATTACTTTGAAATCATTGATAGGAACTCTTGTGTGGTATATCCTCTTTCAATGCTGTTAAACTTATGAGGATGATATTAAATCACTCATCAAACTTTCCCTAGCACTCTCAGGCTATAGACTTGACATGCAACCATCTTCAATTGGGAAATTCTGGATCTTTCTGACCCAGTAATGTGCAAAGACATATGCTGTTTAAATTGGTAAACTTTTGTTGTTTAATAAAATGTTGTGAGAACATTAGAAATCCAATTAATGATTAGAATTGAATTTATTGTAAACATATCAAACATTAACGAAAAAATGGAAGTGTCTTTATTTCAAACGTTTAAGGGAACTTTAAAAAAAGTATGATTAAGCATGAGGCATGATGATTTAAAAAAGGCATCTTGTACAGTCTGCAAAATAAAAACGAGCCACCTAGAATAAATCTTAATCTAACGGTCTGATTAGCATTTCACTCACCTTCTAACACTAAATAAAATTACTGCACATTATTCTTCGTGCAGTAATTTATTCTACCCTTCTTTACTTACTTCACTCACACATCATTTAGAATGTGAAAAGGTACAGAGTGATTTGTTTGAAGACTTATGCTCCCCTCTTGGTGTGTTATTAGCTTTAATAAGAAAAAGTTTCAAAAACATTACACACTAGTGTTACAGTGTGTCTTTCTCTAAAGTAGAAAAAACATTGCTTACTCCAGTGAATGCAGGATGAACGTGAGAAAGGAATGGTTTGAAATAATAGAGAAAGATAAAATAAATTTTGAAAATATCAAACTGAAATTAGAAATTAATTTGGAATTTCTCAAGTTTCAAGGATAATTAAAAAAGAACAAAATTCTGAAAGTATTCGAATGGAATACGCAAGGCATAAAAGTCTTATTAAAAAAAGAAGGGGAAAATAAATTTTCATAAATTGACGAATTAAACAAGCATAAAAACAGTTTTCATGTACAGATTTTTTCAAAAGAAACAAAATAATATACTAGTACCTGTATTATTTTTTTCATTAGCATACACTTATTTTTTGTAACTTTAAATGACATTTATATTTTATAATACTAACACAGACAGTAAATTTTAATTGTTTATTGATTATAAAATTGAGTTTATTTATAAAACAAAACACTATACTATGCATTAGATACTATTAAAAAGTAAAATATTGTAAAAATTAAGCATTTAAAATCGAATATTGCACTCCCCTTTTAATCCAATAGTGCACTCAATGTAATAGTGTTGACTGAAACTAATGGTATTCCTTTAAGCGGTTCTAACTGTATATGTGGTGCTTAAAATTGAAAATATTAAAATATGTTATATTTTTGAAGAAAAAAAAAAAGATATTCCATTGCATTGAAATTTACTGTAAGGCAATTGTAATAAACCAAATTCACTACAACATATTATAACTTGATATACAATTAATGATATTCATTTGCCTCAAATTTTTAATATTTTTGTAAGATTAAGGATCGAAAATTCAGTAAAATAGTTTGAAAACTTTTGTTAATAATTAGTTTTTTTTTTAACAAGATGTGTTATCCCTAATTAATTTTAATATCTTATTTCCAGGTGGCAATAGCATTTTGGCGTGCAATGGGTGGTGATGAAGATGAAATTGAAGGCCTTGACGATGATTAAAAGATTTTTTAAAATTATTATTTGTACATTTGTTTATTTATTTTATACAAATAAAGTTTTTGTATTATTACCTCTGATCAGTCACATGCGTATTATTTTAAAAATTTCTTACATCGAGATTTTTATTCTTTTACACATGCTTAAAGGAACACTGTAATTTTGATATGAAATAACACAATATGTTACAGGGTGTGTAGCATTTTTAAAAAGTGCTTATTTTTGATTTACGTTTTTTAAAACCCCTTAAAGGTGCTTTTTTTTATTTAGGGTTAGTAAAAAGTGCTTAATTTTCTAATTTTTAAAAAGAGATTTTTCTTTGCTTTATCGATTGCCATTCTAAATTACAAAAAATGCATAATTTTCACTATTTTCTCTGCAATATTTATCAGAAACTAGTTATTTTCTCATGATTATGTAAATGTTTTGAAAATGTTTCTAAATTTTATCGATTTTTTATTTATAAATTAAGAACTTTAAACTATAGAAAAAAATAATTTTTATTATTGCACAGATCCTAATTATGAATTATAAATTTTTTTGGAGAATGATTAAAAATATTTTTGGGGTGCTTAAAAAGTGCTTATTTTGTTGAAAAATCTGGCTATGCACTCTGTGTTACTATAAAAAACTATCAATAGTATTAAAAGAAATATTTTCTTATTAGACTCGTACACAATTTTGTATTACCAATTAAAATTTCTAGTCAAGACACTATTTGCTTAGCTCAGTTACCTAACAATTGTTACCTTTGGAAACAAAAATTAATACACATTTAAAGAAAAATTGTAATTTTGTCAATGAATAATACCTAAATATGATTTTAAAAAAATAACTTTCAATATTATTAAAAAATATATATTTCATTAGAAAAATACAAAATTTTGCTTTACCTGATAAGTTTCTTACCAAGACACTTTTTGCTTAAATCAATTACCTAAAAAAATGCATAAGAATATTTTTTTATATAATAAGATGACACATCTTTAAAAAAGAAGTGCAGTTTTGATAGGAAATGACAAGTAAAATGTAAATGAGAATAAAAATAGCAATATAGTACAAATATGTTGTTTGGAGAATTTTTTTTACTGAGTCAAGCCTTATGTTTAGATCATTTATCTAGCAAAGCAATTGTGATTGTTTACTTGGTTTCTTTTTTTAAAAAAATTATGAAGAAATGACATTTATTTGAAAAGGTAAGTGCAAATTTGATTAGAAATATCACATAAATAATTCATTAATGTATTTGAATGAAAAGTAATAAAATTTTGTCTTTATAAAATTTCTTAATAAGAAAAATAGATCATTACATAATGAAGAACATAGGGATGTATATTTAAAAAAAAAGGATAATTATTTAGAAAATTGACGCGTTTGAAAAAAAATGTGGATTTTTGTCATAAAGTGTAAATTAAAAATGCTACTGAAAAAATAACCATCAATGTTCCGAAAAAATTACGAAATTTTGTGTTACTTGTTGAAATCGGTTACTAAGGCACGCTTTTTTTTTGTTGCTTATATCTTCAGTCGACAAACAAGATCACAGGGATATTTATTTGAAAAAATAACACATATTTCAAAAGGGAAATTCTGGTATGAAATGTCGAAATAATGTATTATTAGAAAAATATATTATTAATATGTCAAATTATTATTTTTTTAAAAAAATAAATAAAATTTTGTTTTATTTGGAAAAAAAATTTTCTCATTGAAAAGCATATCTTATACATATAGGGATAGTTGTAATCAGACTAAGAAAAAGTTAGAATTTGGTGTGAAATAACTTTTTAATGTAGACAAATAACTTGGGGGGGGGGGCTTTGTTACTCTTATTTGCTTAAAGAAGCTAAACCCATCTTGGGTGTGCTTTGTTGATAAAAGTTGCATTATCATTTGATGAGTTGGGTGCAGTACTATAGAATCTGTTATCGAAAGTAAAAGTTATCAACTTGTACCTTTGGATCATACAAAATTAATTATGGAAATCGTGCCCGTAAAATCATTCTTTTTCGTTTAAAAAAATAAACTAACAAAAATAGTGGATTCCAGAGCTTGCCTATTTATTTGATATTATTTCAGAACTAAAGACAATTGATCAAATTTCCTCATCGTTGACAGACTTCAAGAATTTCTATCTGAAAACAAGCTCAAATCGTTTAAATAGGTGAAAAATAATTACTTAATTAACATTATGGGAAATGTATTATTTTTTTAAAGGGGTATTAAATTCCTTCTTAATCCTATCTCACCAGAAGCATTGACTTTATTTTAATTCTATTCCAAACATTTACCTTTTAAATGTGAAATAATTTTAAAAAATTGCGTATACAGAATAGAATCAGGCATAACAGCAACTTCATCTTTAATGTACGTTAAATGTTCGAATAATTTTTCTGGTGTTCAATCTTGTTGTTAAATAGTATAGGATAATCTTAATTGCTAAAATTTAATAAAAAGTACTATAGTAGAGAACCGATTATCCGGAACGATCGGGACCATCGCGATTCCGGATAACTTTTTAATGTTTATGAAACGAAACTAAAAAATTATTTTGAAATAGTTTTAGAAATAATAAAAAATGATAAATAATAATACACTTACACTTAAATAAGGAAAGAAATTATGAAGTAAAAATTATATACAGGCTTATATATGTTATTATAAACATTAATAACATATATAAGCTATTTGTGCTTATGTGAGATTTGTCTACAAGCGGCTTTTAATCCGTCCTCTAAATCAGTTCTTTCGTCAACTCGATACGCCGTATGCTCTAAATAACAAAATGGGCTCAAAATCTTGCAGGAAAAAAAAAAATTTTTTTAATGGAGGAAAATTAATTTCC